CCACAGCCAGGTAAATGTCACCTTTGCACAATTTAGAGCACAGTTATCCCTCAGTATAATAAATTGTAAAACCTTGAAATTTAAACAGCATTGATTTGGATTGTGTATGAATATGTGAATATAATTTTATTGTCAACAAGTTAATCATTGATAGAATTACCTAGGTTATCAGATAATTTTTAAGCTGGCAACTTTTTTAAGTTGGTGTAAATTGTTTATCCCATCTTTTACCAAAACTCCTGCCAAAAGCACAAAATACAATATTGTACATAGATGGTGAATTATAGTACTACCAGCCACTTTTGATAAGCCTGAGTTACAGCCCTAAGCCACATTGTTCAAAGTTGGTTTAAGATAACCTAGGTCACTCTGAAATTTCATTTCAGATCCGAAAGCATTAAATCAAAATTCAACTTAATTACTTTTGTCTACAATTTGATGATTGGATGCTCTCAAAAGAAAAGAAGAAAGTATCCCAAAAATACTTTTGAATAGATAAATGAAGAAACCCTAGCATAACGCTAATCTACCTTCAAACAACTGGACCCTGGGCTGCATTGGAAAAATTATGAAACAGACTTAAGAGAACAACTTAATGTCTTCCTTAGAATTAGGAAGTCACTTTTGAGACAACTGCTTCTCGTATGGCATTACACTTTAGGAGCCTAGCTAGGATAGAATACACCCTGCCCCCTCTAACCTGATACCCCTACAGTCAAGCCAGAAGATCAGAGGCCTTTGCAGAGTAGGACCTTAGGTGTTCCCAAACTTTTTAAGGGGTTAGATGTTTTGTTGTCAACTGTTTTGGTGCTTAGATTTGGTAAGGTTTGGCTCTGAAATTTCTCAACAGTTTACAAGCATATCATGTTTTAAGGGGTTGGTGGGGTGGCTGGAAGGTTTGAGAGCAAAATTATTTTGCAGGATGGAGAGGAGTAGGTTAACTAACCAGTATATCATCTCGAATTTAACACTTTCTTTTATTTGTAGTTTCAGAAATTGTCCCTGACTCCCTCATTGCAGACCTCTCTCAAAAAATTTCTAAGGAATGGAAGCTGTTGGCAAGTTATTTGGATTTGAACACTGATCATGTTGCCACTCTTGATCAAGAAAATATCATAATTGCTGAAAAGGTTATTGCCATGTTCAATGCATGGAAACATGCACAGGGAACAAATGCAACTCGCAGTAAACTAGTGACTACTTTGGTTGGTGTTAAAAGAAAAGACTTGGCTGAAAAAGTTCTCACCTACCAGAAGGAATGATTCTTTTTCTTAGTGTGGCAGAGAAGGTAATGGTTTCAAACAGGGATGGGATGGAAAGGAGATTTCAAAATTTCAAGCTACTGTTTTTTAAAAGATAAACTGGATGGCATTTTTGCTTGAGGGGTGCTAAAATGAACTTGATTCTTGGAAACAATTCTTCTTTTATGAACAAGGGACTACAAGACCTTTGAGCATGTTGAGGAAGGAAGGAATAATTAATATTTCATATTTATTTAATTCTAAGGTGGAAATGGTTTAATTAACATTAAATAATTCTTGAAATTTATTGAATAGGATATTTTTTTGATAATACCAATGATTGATGGAAACCTAGAAAAAATAAAGATAAAATGTAGTTTTCTAAAAGATGACAATATTTTATTGGTTGCTTTTCTTTTTTACCTGTAGTTGTGAAACTGATTGTATAGTTTTGTGTTTTTTGTTTTAGTTTTGACATAGTTTAGATTAGTTTAAAATTATTTTATTTACACCAGGAAATTAACTGGCTTTGCAGAGATGAATTTCAAAAGCATCAAGTCACTGGTAACAGAGCTGAAACACATCAGCACATGTTGAGGACTTTTGCTGGCTTGTGCTTGAAACCATGGGAACATCAGCCTTAAAAGCTGGAATTATGAAAAACTGTAAAGGAGTGAGGTTTACTCTCTAAGTTGAGACAAAAGCAGAGAAATCATTTGTTTCAGACTGTCCTTCAAAGTGTGAATTACTGTACTGTGATTTCAAAAATGTGCTTTGTGTAGGCTGAGCTACAATAATATCTGTAGGTGAGCTAGGCAGTCCTCAGCCAGAGTTGTTTTCAAGTCTGCTTGAAGCTCGGTCACCACTGGCACATTCTAGCCTCATGTTTGTTATTGGGTCCCTGGCATGGATAAGTTTCAAAACTTTCAATGAAAATTGATTCACAATTGATGTCAATTGACTACAACCAACCAACACAATTTTAATGTTAATAAAATTTGGGTGTCACAATTGACATCAATGTTATGAAAATGATACACAAACAACCACTACCCTTTTCATAGCGTTAATGAGGTGTTGAAAGTTGTAACAGTTACTGAGGATAGCTCTTAAAATGTTATTGTAATTTGTTACTAAGTAGGCTCATGAAGAGAAGCAATATCATTTTCATGAAACAAATTCTTTCTTCTTTTTTCCCTGTTGTTTGTTAAGACACAAGTGATTGATTATCAAACAAAGAAAAACACAGGAAAATTCTTTGTACATTGACTTGAAAAAAACATTGCTCCATTCAAATTCCAGCTCATTTAAAATATAGAAGCTCTATTAGACATTGTGGTAAAACACTTTTTAAAACTAATTGCAGCTTTGTGTCTTTAAGAGATAAAGAAGTGAAAATCAAATACAGCAGAGGTGCTTGCTGGTAAAGTATTGCATATATAAGGTATAAAAACAGCTCTTACTGTAACCAATCATCACTCAGTCCTTTCAAGACACAACAAAAGTAAAAATCTTACAGGGAGCACTTAAGATTTCTTTTATTTTCTTAGTTTATTGTGCTTTAAGCAAACAGCCAACTTTTCACACTTCTGGTCACAAGCTAAAACACTGGGTCCAGATGGTAAACTTCCTGGTTAAAGGAAGGAATGAAGAGAAAAACCCTTGTTTTTTTAAAACTGTTTTGTTTTGTCAATGACCGTGAATATATGAAAATCATATACATGAACTGCAGTTTAAGAAATGAATATGAAAGCGATTTTCATAGTAATTTACACTATTTACCAGGAGTGAAAATAAGGTATGAAAAAAATTCTGTCCTGTACAGGATTTGAACCCATGACCTCTGCTGTACTGGTTCAGTTCTCTACCAACTGAGCCAATCCAAAGGTCTGAGGTTTGATTCCTCATAGGGACTCAGAATTTTTTCTTTGTCCCATGTTCATGACAAGATGAAAAAACACATCTTTCTCTATTTATTGACTGAGCTCAAAATTTACCATATCTCCTAATTCTTTCTACAAACATTACACTTTCCACATTGCCAATCCTAGCAGTATGCAGGATGCATGTCATAATAGACCTCGCTCACAGTGGAGTCTCTGTGGCTCATTGGTTAGAGCATCGAAGCACAGAATCCGAAGGTCTGAGGTTTGATTCCCTATAGTGACTCTGAATTTTTTCTTTGTCCCACGCTCGTGACAAGACAAAAAAAATATATCTTTCTCCAAACCAACTGGGTGTTGGTCATCCCATACAGACCTTAATTTTTTTTGTGAAGATCACGGAAGTTCACCAGAAAGACATAACTTGACCATTTTGACCTGGGTTTCCTGGATTGTGCAGTGACAGAATAAATATAAGCTTTCATGGAAAAAACAAATGTTGATGATAATACAGCAACTTCACTCAGTAAGACACTTTTCTTTCCTAAGTAGGCATGCAGTTTGACAACATTTTTATTTTCAAAGCAATGTATGGCTACTCATAGTCCATAGAGAGCAAATATTTCCTGCAGCAGAGAAGTGCATAAGCACAGCAACCACATTAATAAATTTTCCCATGTTTCCTTTAAATCCAGCATGTTCCTTGCACTATAACACAACTACTTTCTTTTCTAAATAACGACGACAGACTCTAACCTATCAATTGACTTCTTTTCCTTTAACCTTCTGGAGTCTCCCTTAAGAGTATGCAGACACCTGACATATTAAAATGGCCATAGCTATATGAAGGCTACATAATGCTATTCACTGGATAAACTGTTATACAGGGAAAGTGTAATATACAATTATTGTAGACTGTTTTCAAACAGATAGTACTATCCAGCATTTGAACGACTGAAGCCAGTCTCTCTCTCTTCTCTATCTCCCTTTTGAAAATATCAGACATGACTAAACCCTGTCATTGAATTTTGCAACAAAGTGCTAACCTGGATAGAGTCAGGGAGCTCAACTTCACTGGACACTGGGCTGTCAAAATAAAACTCCCAAATACACACTAACAACTATTTAGCAAAGAACTAAAAACTGGAGCATTTTTTCAACATAGAGCATGTTCATCTTATTCCTGCTGCCTTTCGTTTCTTGTTCTTCAAAATTTTATCAGTCCCCCCAGTAGTGTCCTGCTTCTTCTTGCCATGTTTTCTCACAAACTCTCCAAAATCAAACTTCCTCTTACAGCCATTATAGTTCATGTAGCGTATCTTTCCAAACACTGGTCTTTCAGCCCAACCTTGATCATGCACTCCACATACTGACCACATGCAACCTTGAAGCAAATTGGGAACAACATTTAGTAACATCTCCACAATAGGCCTACATGATAGAGCTTTTGCCCCAGGGAACATCAAATCTTCTATACAACAATATAGCAATAATTCAAGACAAAAAGAGGGCGATAATGATAAGCTTAGGAGAATGAGGAGCCATTTTAAACTTTTAAAATATCAAGTTGTAAGACATAAACAACCTGCTCGGCTCAGACACTAACAACCCAGTCATCTCACTTGGGCACAGATGTGAATTTTACTTGCATTTGCCTTGGTCACTACAATTTACTTATCCCATGGAAATACCACATGTTTCATTTAAATGCAACATTGTGAATGTAATAACCAATACCTACCCACATATCCATTAGGGTCGTTGCCATCCAGACTGAACCTGTCATTAAGGAAGAGAGACACCTCAAGGGCCTCTTCAGGGCTGGCTGTCCACTCTAGAATTTTCTTTGCCCAGTACATTCTTAGGAAACCATGCATTTTGCCTTCATTTACCAGCTGAAGCTTAAGTGCAAAAGACAATTTTTTTTTTGTAGAAAAGTACTTCAGAGTAATTTTTTAAATTGAAGCTTTTATTTGCATCAGGCTGCAAAGTAATCAACTTCAGGAAACAGTTACCATAATACTGTAAGTTGTGGTTCTGAATCACTTCACACAAGCTACTGCTTTATGCTTGGTGAGCCATTCAAGACTTTCCAACAGTTTTTGCCTATTTTGCAGACTAAGAAAATAGATCTAATTATATCGCTAGGGAAAAATAGCAACATCTTTACAATTAAGTACACAATATCACTATTTATTTTAAATCCCAGTCAGTACTTAAATTATTTCTTTTTAATCCCACATAAAGATTATTCATCAGCCACAATTACCTGGGCAGCATTCCAAAGGTCATCATGTGTGTTCCCATTTTCAAGCTCTTCTCTTGTGTACAAATATTCCCATTTATCCTGTACATGATCATGCACAGTCTTCTGTGCCCACGCATTTGTCCCTTTGATTGAGTCATAATTCTCCAAGTTGTAAAAGCAAAAATTATCAGCTAATTCTCTCCTAACAACTGCTTCCTCGATGAAGGCCTCAACAGAGTCTTTAGACTTGCTGCAGAACTCTCTTACTCTGAGGATTGCTCTCTGGACACTTATGTGACCTGTAGAGGAAAGTGCAAAAACAAGAAATTCAGGAGTGGAATTTGGTTACAGTCAACCCAGATCCTTCTCTTACAGATAGAAAATGGTTTTCAATTTTATCCAATCTGGCAGACCTAGGTGTGATGAGGAGCATCAGTTCATTTTCCAAAGAGCAGCTCAATACTTACATTATAATTGCGCCTAATTTTTCTGTAATTTAGGATTCACACCTAATGAACATTTCCTGACTCTGTGTAACAGTGATGAAAGGTTGCTTATTCTAAAATTGTTGGAGATGCAGAGACCAGTTTTTCAGATTAACACAATTTACAAAAAAAATCAATAGAAAATAATATCAAACTAACTTTAAAAATTTTAAAATTAAGGAAACATCTGACCAAAAGAGAAGCAGAAACTGATTCATGGTTTTAATTCGTGATTAAAAGTTATTACATTGAATTTTTTCAATTAACTGCATGAAACCATGGTGATAAGTTATTTAAAGCTTCCTTTGTGGGATTGTTCCTATCAGTTGCAAAATATTTGAGCCTGCTGTCACAGAATGATTCCAGCATTTCCAAACCAGCCTCAGTTCCTGCTTTAGCCCAATCAACATCTTTAACAGCACGATCAACATCAATGAAACTATCCACTGCTTCCCAATCCACTGCCTTTGGAAAGTTACAGATAATGAACCTTTACAAACATACACTAAGGATACTTAAACTGGGAAAATTTACTTATATAGATGACCTAGAAAAACTGGCTGTACAGCTTGAACAAACCAATCTTCAAAAGGAGAAATGCCCTGGATGTTGGAGCTTCCAACTGATTGATGCATTATGCCCAATGGCCCATAGTTTTACTAATAAGCTAATAAAATTTCAAATCCTTGTCTTCTTTGAATTGTGTTAAACTTTGCTTACATGTACAAACTAAAATTGATTGAGTAATTTATTTTGGACATGCCTCAGTTATTTGAAGCCACTTAGGGTGAAAAGACATATTGCTCTCCACTCCCATCAGACACAAAATAGAGATGTAACAAATTACATGTTCAAAGTTGCATGTCCATCCATACTGTCAGTTGGAGATCTCTGTTTTCAATTTAATGTCTTTAAGTTTAAGTATGGACCTGAACTTTGGTGAAAAGAGGATGCTTCTCTTCTTCAGATAAGAAATAAGTTTCTTAATTTTCTTAACACGATTTGAAAGATTGTACAGCTAGAATGATTTATGAGAACACTGTTATAACTTTACATCTTTGTGAAAACATGTAAAATGGAATGAATACTAAAAAATGGAGGAAAACACACAGGTCTTAATTACATAGCTAGTAATCATATAATGAATGAATAAGATAAAAGGTGAAGGGACATAAATTATGGCAGACACAAGAATAGAGAGTAGCTTGCCATAGAGCAGCACAATATGCTGAAATGTGCTGGGAGTAATAAATGTTGTACAACTTAAATTCTACCTCACATTTATGTCATAATCTCCAGCATGTGAATATTTAATTACTGGTGGGAATTCCATAAGAAACTGCTTTAACTGGTCATGGATTTTAGGGCGAATGGTTTTTGCTCCATACTCCGACTTTGGAGAGGCTTGCCAGCAGGGCACAATGTTGTGGCCATCAGTACCTGCAAATAAGAGATAAAACAATGCCAATTATAATGTTAGGTAGGCCCCTAGACTAAACAGTGATTCAGAAACCAAGAGACCCTTAGTTACTAGCATTACAGTCCTGTTCATATTACTAAATTACTACTGAGTCCTCTGGCTTGGCAGATTTTGTTACAAGGCTATCAAACAGCTGTTGCAAAATTAATTGATTTCAAATTAACGTTATTTGGAGCAAACAGCAGTTTGACTTGTATTTTTGTTTATATTCAAGGGCTATGATTCTGAGCCAATGGAGAAACAACTCAAGCCACCAAAGGTGAACAACACCACCTAGTTTCTGATGAGCCCTGATTAAGCAGCCATCCCTTCCTGAGCAACTGATTGCCATTTGCCTCTAGGTGCAAAGAAATGAAGATTTTATTAGGAATTTACATTGCTTAATTTTATGTGAGTCCATAACATGGGAGCCTTAAGCATTTCTGGAAAGTTGTCATAACAATGAGTAGAAGCTTTGCAGGTAGATCCTGGAGCCTGTTTCTTGAAGTTCCTGTTATGTTAACAGGCTTGTAAAACTGTTCTGTTTTCATTCAAGACTAGGGTTTCAAAAGTTTTGAAAATCATACAATAAATCTAACAGCAAAAGAAACAAACTGGATTGGTTAGGGTGCCAGAACCTGCTTATAATTCTATGTTTTGAATTTTATATAAAAATATGGCATTGGACTCATTCAGTTACTGGTACTTTCAACAAACAGGCCCATGATGCTTAAAAACACACAAACCTGACAAAGTGGAACATTTTTTGGGAGTTTCTTGGCAACATCTTCCACCCATTTAAGAGGTTTCCTTAAAGGTATAAAGTCTGCCACAACACCACCAATTTCTTTGGATTTCACAAAATCTGGAAGGACCTTGTCTGGTTCACCAAGAAGCACATGGAAAGCAATATTCAACTCTGTCAGCTCCTAGAATGAAATACCATAAGTGGTAAGAATAAAATAGTACTTCAGTTACATATGAAGGTCATATTAAAAGGAGTGCCCTGAGGAGAGGTTAACTTGTGAAGGAAAGGGAATAATTACGGTTATCACAGAGCCAAGATGGCCCTGTATGCCCTTTTATTGACAAATATTATTAAAAAATCCCAGTGTAAGACACAAGCAGGGCTGTAAAAAGTTGCAGAGCTCTATGTACCACCCCATGAGACGCAAAATGCAAGAAGACAGGAAGAAAGAGAAAGAGCAGTGATCGCACTACAAATGATCTGACTTACTGATCATGATGTCAGGCTGACAAGAATAGATTTGGCTCTAGGTGATAATGTACTGACTATGCTGCCTTGGTTGACGCAAGTCAAAAAGTACTCAATTCTTCCTTACAAGTACTCTACTCAGATGAATACACCATGTCAGTTTAAGTCCAAGCCTTAGCAGGAAGCTTTGAGGCAGTACACCATGGCTCAAAAAAACCAAGTAGGTTTTGATGACTTGGATATAGCTTGCATCAATCATAAATAAACACCAAAATGTTCTTTGAGTTTGTTTCAGTGCTTAGCAACTTGTTTAGCTATGGATATTTCAAGATTAAGTAGGAGGTTAAGGAAACTACCCTTGCGAACTGAATTCTTAGTTTTCTGGGAATTCCTAGGAATTCCTAGGAATTCTCAAAAATTCCCAATTATGCAAATGACTCTTGCAAACTGAATTCTCAGTTTTCTGGGAATTCCCAACTATGCAAATTAACTCTGGTTTAAAAAGCTTGGAATTACTGGGAATTTCTGGGAAAGGAAGACTACAGTTTTGTGAGGACTTGGAATCTGGTTTATACAAACTACTTATAATTTAAGAAGGGTGGAACTCTTGGGAATTTCTGGCAATTGAATTTGAGGCAATTTTAATACCCTGAGGGAGTAATTTCAGAGGCTTAAAACTTTGGCTCAATAAAAGGTATGCTATACAAAACTTACCAAGAGATATACATACATGTATATGTTTATAACTTAAAGATCATGAAATTTATTATTCAAACTAAGTTTTAGTAAATCTTTACATTAATATGGATTTTCTCATGAACCAGCTGTCATTTATGTTAAATGGAAATTGCCACTTAATCCAATGTACTCATATCACAGATTTGCTTTCTAACCTCAAAGGACTCTTGGATTCCATGATAAAAAAATATTTTTATTGTGATGTAAATTAATGTCTCATGTTCACTGATGAGCCAAAATCATCAAACATTCATTGGCTGTTCCTTGGTACACAACTTCCGTTTTCGTGACTAATTGCTGTAATTTGTTTTGCTGTTTTTATTCTAACAAAACATTTTTGTAAGAGTTCCAATACTTGTGGATCATCCACACACTTTGCAAACATTTGGCATGCAGACAAGACAGAGGTAGTCAATGTTCCCTTTGAGACAAAACACCTTTTAAATGACATCTTCAATTTACTTTATTTGAAACTCTGATCTGAAAATATTTGTCAACAAGACTTGTTAGTAGTGAGAATTACCAACCAAGCTTCTTTTCATAACTTAATTTCTTAAATGTCCCAGTCCCTGGATCTCCCAATATTACATCTTTTTATTTTTGGTGCAAAATACAAGTCCTTCTTTATATAAAAATGAAATTGCAAGTCACACTTCAATAATAACAGCTCTAAAGTTTACTTGTTGTTCTTCTGTCTGTCAGCTATCAACAAAATTGTTGTATACTTCGGACAGTGCATAACTATTTGTGGACCAGAGTTCCAACGCACCTCTGTAATCGCATGTAGTTACTTCTGTCTCTTGTACAAATGTTTCTCCTTTGTAAGACATACTCTACTCTGTTGTCACTTCTGCTTTAAGTTCAGTGGAAACGACTGACTGAGGAATCGAGATGGCGGTGTTGGAACATGTTGCTGAACGCTTGCTACGGTCAAGCTTTGTAGATTTAGGTACCGGTACACTGGGATCATCTATGTATCCCTTATACTTCCTAATGTGGTATCCTCCTTTTATAAATATGAGGGTAAAAGACGATTTGTAGTCGCATTCAAAACTGTGATTGGCTTGTGTTATTTCTCACCTTTGCCATGAACACAACTCAAGCGAGTTTCGAGTCTTTGTTTCCTTGACAACTTTCGGTCACAAATCATGCATTTGTAATATGATCGATTCTTGGCGATTATTTCTACATAGAGTGAGCTCACATCATTATTTATATCAGCAAGGTATCCATCATCTAGAAGCAGAGAACCGGTTGGAGAAGTTGAAATAAAGTTGTGCGCTTCTCTCAACACTACAATCGGCAAGCCAGCGGATTCACTTTGCTAGCCAATTACAAGTCCTAAAAGATCCACATGATCATGCCCGTGATCGGAAACAAAGAAGACTCCATTTGGCGCTCATCTTTGAATGTACTTTTCATCGGTTGATCGTTTTTCTCAACTGTTTTGCTTAATATAACATTTCTAAAGATAGCTTTTATTGTGGTTCAATGGAAAAACGAGAACAGCGTGAGTGTTGTAAAAGAAAAGAAAGTCGTTGGCGCCGTGGAGTTAAAAGAAGGGACAACAGTTGACATATTGACTGGTACAAGCAAGGGTCGACTGGCCATCTGTAAGGCTACAATTTTGAAAGTTTGTGGTGAGTAAAAATTGTGATATTCATTACGTGATCAAAATCTTAAAAAAGAATAGATGTAGCGGGTTGAATTAAGCTTACATAACGCTCAGCGCAACTGAAACTAGAATAATTCTGAGAATCAAATCGGTCACTTGCATGCCGCAGTTTCTTAAGCTTATGCTTTACAATGAAATAAACCTATCAGTAAGGTTTCAAGATTCCTTTAGTCACGTTTGGGAACATTCAAGATTCATAATAGGAACTGTTATTAAACAATCCTTATTACATAAAGAAGCCCTCCTTGGTAAAAACAAAACAATGTATTCAGCCCTTTTTTAGTAAAATCTATGAGAGATGTACTAACTCCAATGTGAAAGTCACTTAATATAACAGACTGATTTCTCAATTTGAGAATCTCATGAATGCCCTTTTCCTCATAGCCATCTTAAAGGCCTGGTCTGAGCTTTAAATATATATATTTAAATATATATATTTTTTTCAAATTCAGATGTCATGGAACCCAGATACAAAATGGTCAAGCTTCTTGTAGACAACCTCATTCAAGGCCAACTCATTGTGAGCCCAGGAAAAAAATACAAACAGCAGCTAAGTTTGCAGTTTAGGATAACTTCATTCTAATTTATTGTTACAGTTACAACAAGATTTTAATCAAAAAATCAATTTTATTTGTCTGTAATTAACCCATTCACTCCTAAGAGTGTGTGGTTTTCAAATATAATTTAAGATATTGTACTTTATGGAAAAGAATCAACAGATTTTATTCACAATTTGTGTCAAACCAAATTTAATGATTGATTAGGACTATTTTGTATGAATAGCTGTAATTGAGGATTAATCCATATGAAGTTTCCAAGAAAAGAAAAATCAAATTCCATCCTAATATTACCACACATTGATGTTAATAATGAATCAAAAATATTTTACATGTAAGCCTTAATTAAGCTTCTAAATAAACTTCATTGAATTTTAGCTGAGTTATTTTAATTTAAAGTAGTTATTTTATATCATTAGCCTCAAATTTTTGCTTAAAATTCCCAGTAATTCTTAAACATTCCTAAAAATTCCCAAAAATTCCCAAAAATTCCCAGAAATTCCTAGGAATTTTTTAGATTTACAGCTTTTCAGGGAAAGTCATTGGTTCTCTGAGTTGGAATTCCTAGGAATTCCTAGGAATTCCAAGTCCTGTTGGCTAAAAACTTGGAATTTCTGGGAATTTCTAGGTTTTTGTAACCAGAGTTGTATGGTTGGGAATTCTTAGGAATTCCTAGGAATTCCCAGTCCGAATTTACCGTGAAAATTCACACCTTTATTCCTAGGAATTCCTAGGAATTCCAAAAGCCATTTCGCAAGGGTACTAAGGCTTTTTCACTTCCCTAAAACTTTTTGCCAACTTCCTTCCATCCAAATTATCAAAAATGTTGACCATATTCTAATTCTAAGGAATTCATTAGCTCACAACCTCTAAGTTAATTTGACATGATTGTTGATGATCCTGTCTTTAACAACAATCCCTACAAGGATAACCCTCAAACAGACAGTCACAAGACAAGATTCACAAAATAAATTACGACCTAAAGGTGACTGAATTTTCCTTGAGGAGAATGAACATTAACAATGTGGGTAGGTTGAATTTCAACCATTTCATCCTTTACTAATTACCTTTTCCACTCCCTGTAGACCTTTGATCATAAAGTTGTACTGCCTGTATGCAGCATCAAGGTAATTAGATGGCATACAGAAGATGACAATGAGAGGTACTTGTTGTTTCAGTGCCATTCTCTGGGCATAGAGCATGGCCCAATTGTCTGTAAATAGTAAAAAAAGTTTCATCTTAGGAACTGGATGAAATCAAGGGAAGTTGCAACTTCTCATTGATACATAAAACAGTTAACCATATCTCTACTTAAAGCCCCCTAAATTCAAAAGTTTGTTTGAATCAAAATCTTCCCTCTCTAATTGAACCCAGATATATGATAAATATCTAACTAACCTCATTTTCTCAGTTTATTCATTAATTTATTAGCAATATTTATGCTGGCTGTCCCAGTTCAGTTTCAAGCTGGTTTAAATGGGGGCCTGTCCACACAGTAACTTACAGAACCTTGTAGCAAAAACTTGGCCCATAACTCACAGTTCAAACAGCGAAAATTAGGTATGGACAGTACATATGAGCTAGACAGTGTGCTTAAAGGGAACTCAAGCAGAACTACCCCAACAAAAGAACTTTATCTAAGGTAAAGCAGTTTGAAAGGAGTAAAACAAGCTTTGTGACTTTCTATTAGATTGATGCCAGGCCACAATTTTTTAAAATTGGTGCTGTTGTACAATCTCTATTTAAGCTTCCTAAAAAAGGATACTCATAGGCGACAAAAATTGGCTATAGAGACACCCTTTTTTTTTTTGGAGGAAAATCAGGTTGAGTTTATTTTCTGATTGCCATGAGTAAGAATTAAAAGGTGTTTGATAGACTCTTTTAGAAGAAGAAAAAATTTGTTTAGCAAACAGTCTTTGGATGGATTACAAAGACCTTTGTTTTCTCTTCATTCTCTCCTGTTTCTCTCAATCACATTTTGAGAAATGCATTCCCCAGTGTCTTCTTATCATTAATGTTGGGAGGCTGTGATAAGTTTGAATACAGGAGTACCGTTTGATTAAGTTAAGTGTTTATCTGAATGAGAAAAGTCCTGAAAAGGGCTGCTGTCGCTGACAGTGTCGGTCACTTTGAAAACCAGGCAAGGCAATGGCATAATAATCAGGAATGTAATCTTTATCAGCCCTACTCTGTTAGAGACTTCAGCTTTAGTATTGGAAATGTCAATGTCAACGACAGCAATACTTTCAGGATAACTCTTCCTTGAATGATCACATCATAACATCAAAAATTAATTATTCTAATCTGCTCCAGACACGAAGCGAATGAAATTTCGCTTTAAATATCCTTGGTGTTACGTAATGGTTCAGAACCACAGTTTGCTGCGAAGACAACTGAGAGGCGATTCAGAGTTATTGATCGGCTGGTTCTCCCAAAAATCAAAATCATGAGAAAATGTTTACTATCATTAACCTTTGAAATTAACTGGTTTGAATTGATGCTACTGTTCAGTGAGAGGTAACGAAATCGAGAATATTTCCACAAACTAAGAGTCGTAGTTTACCTTGTACTCGCTGCTCCCTCCACATCCAGTAGGCGATTCCTTTACAAGACTCTGGCATGTCTGTATTCGATGATATAAGTCGTACTCTCTTCTTATTGAATTTGAATTCTGCTACAGATTTGCCAAAGTTCTTCCTTTTCTCCGTAAATTTTGCCAGAGTGGTTTGTTCTGTGCTATTGTTGTGGTTTGTTTCAGCGATTTCCTTCTTCATCCTTTTCGACGGAGGTTCGTTCGCCATGCTTACAAGTCTCAGAGTTTTCCAAGCTAAACCTGGATGAAAGGGACGAAGAAAATAAGAGTCAAAAGTTCGGAAAGAAAGACGGAAATTTGCGACAACTGCAGATGGCGTTGCAAACGAAAGATGCATCTAAATAACAACACATTGTAATAGAGTTGATTCCCGCGCTTTCATCAGTCGCATACGGCACGAATGGCACGTGACTACAAAATAATTCTCCCGGGTGGGGTAGAGAATCTAGACGTTCTTATCGACGACAGCTTCACGGACTGGTCTCCCAAATATCCCGTGGTGTGAGGAAGGGATGGGGGGAAAGGGAGGGAAAATACGATTCATTCAGCAAATTATATGAACTGCGGCATACCAACCTCAGGGAGCCTCGTTTGGCATAATACTGAGAAAACATTAAAACAAACTATCAAGGACCGAGACCGAACATACTGGGTTCACATCTTCATCGAGGCTAATCAGACAGGAACCAACTACTTAATGGCTCCTGGTTCAGAAAGATACTGTATTCCCCTGCCTATTAGTGGTGTGAATTTTCTACGATATACTCAGCTCTGTTACTCAGAAACCAAAACATGTGGAAAGAACGTTCACAGGTAATGGACACCTGAAGTTCACGAAAGAAATAACTCGAGTTATGGGCAAGTAAATTTTTAAAATCACTTTCTGAAATACTAAATATTACTCTGAAGCCCCTCCCTCTCTGATAGGCTTCCAACTCTAAATATCTTCCTTCTATAGGAGGCCCCTCTCTAATCAGCCCCGCTCTCTAAAAAGCCCCCCTCCCCCCGTCTCTAATAAAACTCCGTCTAAAAATTACTCTCTTATAAAACCCCATATAAACCCCAAATAAGCCCCCTATCTTATAAATCCATCTCTTTAAAAAGCACCCCTCTCTAATAGGCCCCCCTTCTATCTTATAAAACCTCCTCTCCAATGAGCACCTCTCTCTAATAAACCTCCCTCTCTAAAATTGACCCCTCTCTAATAAACCCATCTCCAAGAGGCCCCCTTCTCTGAGAAGTCTCTCTATATATGAGCCCCGTCTCTATTGTGCCCCCACTCTTTGAAAACCCTCTCTCTTTGACTAGCTCCTTTCAATAAACCGTCATCTGAAAGCCCTTGGAATGATAAATCAGGCTCTTAGTTTAATATAACTGTTTAAGACATCTTGGATTTTGTTCCTTAACGTTTCATATAATCAAACAATTTCTCGTCCTACAAGCAATATTATTGTTGAATACAACAAAGCTTGTATTGAGCAAAGCAACAATTTCGATACGATCGACTTGCGAATAACCATCAGCGAACGACCAATCAGAAAAGAGGATCATATTGAGAAGGCTCATGGCAGGTCTCCACTTCTTTCACAACTTGTAAAATGTATCCTTCACGACCGATAACATACACATGTCCTTGAACAGTAAAAACTTTACATTAGTCGGTATTATGTACAGAAAACGAAATTATTTCAGTTACATTAAGTTATTTATAACAGCAAATCTCCGGATCACATTCAGTCTTACAAAGCTCAAACCGTAAGCCTTGCCCTGTTTAAGACGGATTATTTTATATATGTAACTTTGCATAAAGTAAGCTGGCAGATTGTGAAATATCAATTCCAGAAAGAAAACAAGATTAGTGTTAACTTGAATGAAATGCGGAATAATACCACTAATAAGTAAAGTATACTGCAGTGGGAATAGGTCACCATAGTGATGTCTGGGCCCGTGGGCACAGATAATTGAGACCTAACTTAGCGAGACACGTATCGGACAATAGCCTCTCGCACCTTTGTTCCAATATTTGGACCTCAATTACCCTTGAAACAAATGGCTGACAGCCTAAATTACCTCCGATCCAAACACGGTTGGGCGCAAACAAATCGTTTTGTGCTAAGATGGTTCAATTTAAACGAGGCGCCCAAAGCAGCGAGAGAAACGGGCATGACGAGTACTGTGTCACGGAGGCCGCCTATCTCCGCAAAGCCGAAGTGCTCACAAAGAGCGGCTTTGAGGACAAAAAGAAAGTCCCTTGCTATGGGCGTTACCAAGAAAGGACAGAGAATGAGAAAGGATTAGATGCAGTCTGGAACACAGAGATGCAAGAACACGCCGCGGTAACTGTGAATTTAATTTCAACAAGAACGGCAAACAGTGATGAAGAAATGGAAGAAATCGGCGAGGACCCCGAGGGGGAAGAACAGGAAGCCGCCGGTGGAGATGACGACGAAAAGGAAGATCAGGACCACAGCGATGTTGAATCGTTTGATTTCTTCACAGAATCGCCCAGCGAGGTGTCGGAAGAGGCAGTTCTGTTACCGAATATTTTAATTACTTGTACAAGGTGTCATGATGTTGTTAACATAAACTATTGATAAAACAGCAACAAGATGCCAGTTCAAAAATACGACAAGATCCCTTTGGTGACAAGCATTTGCATAAATTAAACACGGCGTTTGAGTTCCTAAGAACAGAACTTCAAGGAACCACAGATTTGCGATATCTTAGTGAAAGGGTAATTGAAGGTTGGTGCAATTCAGTAACAGCTAGAGATACTTTGACATAAAATATCTATGCAAGGAAACCAACATCTCAAATCATATGTTTTATCATCCGTAAACTTCGGGAGTCGTAATTTATCTCGTGATGATTATTACACGCCGTGAGAAAAAGTGAAACAAAGAAAATACAGACAAGCGTCTTAAATATTAAGTTTTCCTAAAATTGTTAACTAATTTGTAAAGTAAATTGATTCTAAATTTTAAGTTAAATCTTCAGATTTCTTAGTTTATACGTACAATACACTGAATTTAGTTTAAACCATGACATTATGTTTGCGTAATTAAGAAGATAGAACAAACTGCTCTTTTGACCTTAGCATGATTTTATTTAGGTAAAAAATTTAGAATATTCTACCATGCCGAGGTTAAACGTGTTAATGACAGATTACGTGTTTACGAGGGAATCAAAACAAAACCAAACACTGTCAACTCTTTCATTAGCACCTTCTTAGGTTTGATTGATGCAAAAGATTGGCAAGAACTTGACATAAGATAGTTGTATAGACATTTGCCTGTTTGCTCTCGATATTCTCGTTTGAGTTCATTTGCACTTCAATGCCTCGAGTGCAACTGAAGTATTGGCCATTGTGTTTTGAATTTGCAGAAATAAAAGTAACAAGCGAGAGCTTCGATTTGTCTTGCTCAATTGTAGCTGGAGTTTGCGAGGAAGCAAATAAAAGGTGGAAAAACATGGAGGATGTGCACATCTATAAAGACAACTTTTTGAACAACATAAATAGCGCTTTTTTTGCGATCTATGACGGGTACAGCGGTAAAACCACTGCACTTAAGTGCAGTCGACATCTTCACGTGTATTTGAAAGAGGAGCTTGACTCTATTGTAACAAAGACAAACACGAGGCCGTCGAAAAAAGAGGTCTCCTCAGCCTTCCGTTCTTCTTTTGCAAAAACTGAGAAGTTGCTTCTTATGTCAGAAGAGGAGCGGTCGCAAAGTAGATGGAGTGGTTGCTCAGCAGTCACATGAGTTTTGACAGATGATATGTGTTTTATCGCAAATGCAGGGAATGTGGGCGCCATTTTGGTAAGAGACAACGATGTTGTTAAAGTACTCACAAACAAGCACGATTTGTACAACAAGAAGGAACGCGAGCGTGTGAAGAATTCAAGCGGGGTCATAGTGAAGACGGAAAAATGCGCGCTCATAAACGGGGCCCTCAGTGTCACAAGGGGCATTGGGAACATCGGAGATATGGCCTTAAAGAGATGCATTATTAATGAGCCTGACGTCAGGACTATATCTTTAGATCCTACAGATCAGCTTCTAGTTTTAGCTTCTGGTGGATTTTGGAAGATGTTTTCCTACGAAGAAACTATTCATCTTGTCAGCGGCTTCATTGGACAAATAAGAAGGGAGGCGAAACAAAAGATTGTTGAAGGTGAAATAGTTGATAGAACTGTGTCTGAAATACACAATGAACATCTGTCTAACGCAGAGTACAGAACAAAGCTTTTTTTAAAGATGGCCGGCGACCAATTTAATGATACATCCTCGCCATCTGTTTTCCCTCCGGACGACGTTGCTGGAGGATTGGCACACAGTAAAAGCGAAGACAACTTGAGTAACTTGATAGCACACTACCAAATTAACCCTTGCGTTGAAGCAAACAGAGACACGAGTTCTTTTAACACTAAAGGAGAACCCATTCATACAAGTCACATAACGGATCCCCCACCTGTCGATGACGTCACTTCCATATATACACGTCATCACCGATTTTCTTTACCAGATTTTAAAATGTTTAATTGGCTCAAAGGCGGCGAAGGAAAAGGATTAACAAGACCGGAAAAAGCGCGTCTTCTAGCAAAGAGTTTGGCAGAGAGGCTTGTGAAAAGCGCGCTGTACGCTGAGTCCATGGTCAATATCACAGTCTTTGTTGCTCTTTTACCTGGATTTTCTATGGTTAACTGGCAGATGGTGACACCCGACATCTTGGAAACTTTAGACGAGTTTGTGGCCGATGATGACCTTTTCGAATGACGTAACGTGCCAATGCATGTCCTAGGAGTTGTGTGAATACCTTGGTTAGACATCCTCAAAAGACCTGAAGTTTATTTTTCAGGTGCAAGCGTGACCTCTGACAAGTTAACACAATATTATACTCTCTTGTTTACTTATGTTTGAAGTTGGTCAGGTCAGCTTTGCATGATTGCTGTTTTTGCTTTACATGTTGCATGATCTCTTAGACTTTTGTTTTATAAATCTCGGTAGAGTACATTCATTTAGGTTGCGTGATTCACTGTTGTCAGTAGTGCAGTCTTTTCCCTTTAGAATAGCGGGAGAAGTGTGAGCTAGGGGGAGTTACGGGAAGGCCTGGGGCTCAGCCCACGCTTCTCGAAAGGAAGAAGACTGCTTAGTTAGCAGGCGACATTCACTATTCTCGTTTCTAACCAGGATTTTCCGGTCTCCTATCAGTTTCACCACGTGCAAGTCAAGTCGACTATTGGAGATAACGAGAAGGTTAGCGAGAGAGCGCTATATGTAGGCATGAGGTTCAGTACTTCGCGGGTGCCTGATTCGATTCTCGGACCTGCCAACAAAGATATCACTAGAAGGAATTAAATACTAATGACCATAGTGGAAAGAAAATTTGTAGATCGCTGTAGGAAAGACAATTTGCGATTTAATTCGGGGCCTTGCTGAACAAAATTGTTAACAGTCAATAACTGATCCGTGTTAACAAGTAAACATTTATTTAAAGTATTAAAAACAGTTTCACGAAGAAATGACGCATACAATGTGAAGCATTTTGCATGATTATCATATGGCAGTTTGAAGCACTTGGACGCGACCGTAGTTTGTTACTATTCAAATGAGAGCTTGAGCACTACTTTCCTGCATCATTGCATCACTGCTTTTTTAAATTCCACCTTTTTCTATCTGACCGCTTAAAAAACCACACATTGAAGGAAACTTTGCTTACCAGTAGTTATATACATTTTCGGTATATTTTGCAGCGGAAAGTCGATTCATAAAAAAAATCCTGGCCACGAATACCGATGAATCGATGTCCTTAATACTTGTCAAGGCATGTGTAATGTTCCATTGTGTTCCTCTCAGGGCTCGTGATGGTGGTGTAGTGGGTTCCTTTGAACCTTGTGATGATG